GAAATATTTGGACAGAATTCGGGGACAATAAATGTAATATATTTACAAATAAACAAGATGCATTTATATGTTCATATATTTAAGAAGTACTTCGTAATTACGTGCCCTTCCAGTATGAGACGCTTGGCGCCACAGAGCAGGCGCGAGCGCAGGCCGTCGGGACTCAGGTGGAAAAGGAAGGTTGCCCCGCGATGTCTCCCAGAATGTACCCTGTTGAGAGAGCGAAAAAGGTCTCTGCAATATGAAATTCAATAAAGCCCTAACATAAATATTTATTATTCTCACATAATGAAGCGAAAAACCATCAAAGTTACAGCCAAATTTCCTCCCCTGATAAAATTTAAAACTGTTTAGGTCTTGAGTAGCTATTCTTACTGAAAAAACAGCTTTTTCATCATTGAAACATGTATAATCATGCTTCGCTTTCACATATTACTTTGCGGAAATATTCTCTATATTTTCAAGAAATTTAAAATTTGCACAATTAATTCGCATATTTTTAATTTTGTGCCTTCATTTAATTATTAATATCAGATGATAATGCCACTTATAGACACTTTTTTGACAGATGCATTTTAACATTTGAAACACGCACGCAATCTTTCTAAAAACAATTTTGTAGTTATAAAAGTTTTCTAAAATATTTATTCTAAAATTTCCACTTGGTGTTTTTTCTTTTCTGCGAAATAATGTTACGCATGTAGTACGCTTGAATTTTGTTAATATTCTATTCCCATCAAGTGAGTACGATTATTTTTACTGCCTTTAAACAATCGTAAATTTACTCCAGGTCTTAAAATATATTGATAGATTGTAGTATTTCATACTTTTGTGGAATTTATTGTTTTTTCTTGTATAATCCTTCGTACAGAAGACTAATTAATGGATAGATATCTTAAATTGTTTTTACTTATTATACTAAATGTTAGTGAATACTAACATCGAAATAAATTAAAAATACTTGTATGCATGCCAACTAAAAGGATGATTGACAGTAACTTTAACCCATTTTATAGATTTAATTACCAGTGTATTGAAAATTAGTTTAATCTATATGTATTTGAAATAAATACTTTACATAGTAAATATCCCTTATAAGATGTCAGACACATTTTTAAAGTGGAAGTAGTAGACAACCAAATGTATGAAAAACGTTTTCAATCACAATTGCTTGGGTTACATGATTCTGAAAACATATTTCCCCTTTCTCTCTACATATTAACTTGTTTATGCAAGAATTTTTGAATCTGTGATGCAGAATACGTTCACTTGTATTTCGACTTTTTAATGTAGTTGCATTAATCGTGTTTTAAATATTGTTTAGTACTCACAGAATATTACAAAAAATATCTGTTGCTAGATGGTAAGTTCCGACGGAGGTTCTGACAAATTAAACGTGATTTTTCCATTGATATCTGAAACATTTCATGATTACCAAGTAGACGTTATTTCTTACTCATTTAATTTTCTTTAAAACCGAAGGTACGTGTATATCTTTAATGTTATTTTATTAACAGTATAGTTACTTTATGCTAATGAAGAAAAAATGGATTGTGAATGTACAGGTATATTCTTTCCTATTCGCAAGAGATTCTTGGCTTTTGGCAAAAATATTTCTGAAAACAAACTATAAAATTATTTATGTGTTAGTAATTAACACATCATAACAATCTTTTAAAATAAACTGACTTTTAAGATGAAATGTGCTGTAATGGTGCTCACATGTTCTCCAGCAATTATCAAGTTCTTCGGTCATAATATAGTTTTTCAGTTTATTCGAACTAAAAATTCACATTTTTATTTTTCGTGATTTGTTCAGTTTTCATATTGAGACAATATCCAATTATACGAAATAAAATTATTTATAAAAATATTAATAGTATACGTAGAAGTATGTAATATTGAATTATTTAAAAAAAGTTTTCGAACCTCTTGGGTAAAAATAGCAAGAAGAGAGGGAGAAAATGTATTTATTAGAGGAGATAATAATAGTAATAATAAAATAATAATAATAATAATAATAATAATAACAATATTTTACATAGGAGATTGCGTGGAATTAGAAATAAACTTCATGTGACTATAAGATGGCGACTATAAGATAGGGTTCTTTTTAAAGAACATATCTACTGGAAATGAGCGATTATCAGAATATGCAATTTGATGAAACCAATATTTTTTGTGTAGTGAATGCCATATCCGCTAATGGACGTTTAAATCAGATATGTTAATTTCAGTCATTTATTTTCTTTGAACAATACTTCCTTTTTGAATGAGAAACATTCAGGAAATTCGAATTTCTTTGGGGACAAAGTACTAAATACTTCGTTTTAGGTTCACAACACCGACAACTATTTGGAGCTATTAGAAGGTGTTTATCAATTAGGTTTTTGTTTCTAGGAGAAGAACATTCACGAAAAATAGTGTTTCTTACTTTATTACATGGACTTTTGGTGCAATAACTGAATAATAATATGTGCAGAAAGTCCGTAAAATTGAAAATTAACTCGCAATAGTGCATGCAAATGTGCTCTGAGGTTTATGAGTTAATTTTCGTACTAATCAACTCAGAGAACATAATGTAAGCGTTAACAGACTTCTCTGAATTATTTTCTTCTTTGAAAGGTAATTTTGACATTAAAGTTTACATTGGAGATAAGATTACTTTGAAATTTCGTGTCAGTTACTTGAAGGTTTATGTTTGATACCATTTTCCCAAAATAAACGAAAAAATATTTCATTATTGCTACTACTAGTATTTTCGATAAGACAGCTCACTCATGTTTGAGTTAATACTACCTAAATTAAATATAATTGAAAAACAAATATAAGTACATAGATTAAGGAAATCACAATTGGGAAGTCCAGTAACGTCATGTTTCTTCGAGCAAATCACCAAAAACAAAAACAAGATAAATTATTTCACATTATTTTCCACTCTAAGTGTTTTGTAATGAACAGCTTAATTATGTTTAATGGTTAATGATACGGTAATTAAACACACTTTTAAAACATAAATAGACACAGACAAATAATTTTCAGGGAGCAAAGGACAGCAAAGTAATCGCCAGCTGAGAGACAGATGTGTGTTTGTCGATAGATCCCATCAGAATTAATGAGCCGTCAGCAGTCCTGAACTTGGAACCGAACGGCACCGGCCGCGCTTTCTGGGTCAGGGATCAGCGCGGTGCGCTGTGGCTCCAAACACGGAAAAAGCGGACACAATTTCACTTTTGAAATGAAACTTCCTTCATGACCGAAGAATGAGCACACATATTGAGTCATAGGAGCGTAAAAAAAGTGAAGATCTCATTTTTTCCTAAAATGTGTGTCTGACGTAAAAAGGTTTGTCTATTTTGAAGTTTTCTGATAACTCCTACACGGTGGGGAAAACCACAACTCGAAACGTTTAATAGGAGCTGAAAAAATATCCAAGCATATTAGACAAGAAAGGGTTGACTGTTGGCAAATTCCACAAAGCTGTTTTTTATAAATACAAGTAACTGTTAATCATTCTGTGTTAAATTTGCATTGCAGACAACGAATATAACTAGATATAATATTTCTGCTACGAATGATTAATAATGCCTCAAGCCAGGGGTTTTCAAACTGTGTGTCACGGAGCGTCGTGCTCCCACATGATAGGGGCGTCGCAGTAATTTTTAAAAATGATCTTTAGATTTGATTTACTTTAATTCTTGTGTCATTTACTTCTACAAACCAAATTTTGCACTATCGAACTATATGTTATTTGTAATATATATGATATATTTTGCTAATTAATTGTGAATTAACTGAACCTGTCAAGTTCTTTACCAATAGCCTATTGTACAAATATCACCTACTCATTTGTGTTGAATCTTCAGTAGGCCTATATTATCCCTCGTACTTGAAACGTATTGTTACCAGGGGAGCCGCGGGGAAATTAGTTTAGATCAGGGAAGCCTTGGACGACAAAAGGTAAGAAACCCCTACCTTAAACATTAACTAAGCGCTGACGGCAGTATCGGGAAATAAATAGTGCAAAACATTATTTACACTAAAAGCAAATATTATTTTACACTACTTATTTCTTATTTCTGAAGTTTAACTTCTAAAGGGTGTGTCAACCACGCATCCACATGTTATCAATCATATAGTTTACTTGATTGAAGCAACTGGATTCAACATCATGTCACTGTAGTTTAAAATAGGCAAAAGACCGTCACAATTTATTTGGGTTCAAATCTATTCAATTTACATTATTAAAAAATAGAAATGCCCTGTATGTCACGTCTTTTTATTTTTTATGAATTAATGGGTAGAAGACTTATAAACTTGGGAAATTCCTATGAAGATGCGCGATAATTAATTCATGAAATTTTGAAATCTGTTTACCTTAGGAATTGGTAATGTTATGAATTTGTGTTTTTCTCACTTTCCTTTCTGTTAAAACTATTATATTTTGGTCTGAAATTTTTGTAATTATATATTTATAAAATAAATTATAACTTCCGTTTTTGTTGTAACTATTGTTTAAGTGAAGCTTACATTATTTCTAGATTTCTTGATTTATAAAAAGTTTATAGATACTTATAATGAAACGTGTACTAATGTTACGAAAGTAACGAATACATTCGTGATCATTTCATATATTCGCTAATTATATTGCTACTTGAATTAACTTGAGTTAAACTTTTAACTTTTATAATGTAGATATCTACACAAATCTATTGAAAAATAAAAGATTTCAGGCAAACTGTGGCCCGTTTTCTAAAGTACTACTTCGGTCTGAAAGGGGAGAAATCGCGAAACAGCCGATAAGAAGAAGCCGCTTCAGTAGAAATCTCATCGTACACGTCCCACCCATCTAATCAATTGACGTCGACAATGCCCCCGGCGCCGCGTGGCAGCGAACCCGCGTCCTCTCGGTTTGCGACTCTCATTTTCTTGAAGGGAGATGGTTTCGTCCGCTTCCTCCCGCCCCTCGGCCCGCGCTGATGCCCCGGGTGTGCTTGCAGCGGCCGTGGAGTGCGCCGACGACCGCTTCGAGATGTTCAACAACTCCTGCTACCTCTTCGTGGGCTACCCGGAAGTGACGTGGCAAACGGCGCGGCAGACGTGCCGCGATAAAAAGGTAAGACAGCACTCGGCCGCCTTTTCGCTCAATTATTCAATTTTACTGTAATTGAAGGCGCTGTGGAAACACGGAGATAACCCACATTTCTCGCGTCTGAGATAGAAATCATAGAATTTCTAAAAAAACAAAAAAAAAAATTATATCCAAACTATACACCAACGTGATCGTGCAACTTCAATATGTGTATAAAATTTAGCAGGAAATGTACACACTAATACCAGAAATATCTGCATTTATAATTTTTTCTAGCTTACATAAATGACAAAAATGGCGAGAATTTATATTCTCGACTCCTTCAATTCAAGTTATGTTTAATATCGATCTCTTATAAGTAATTGGTATTGTAATTTTAGCGAGACTTTTTTTTCAATTTGCTTGTGTGGACTACGTTTCTTTTAATTTCCTTCTTTTTGGAGCTTCTAAATCACTTTTATTCTCGTGAGTTATTTTATTTCTTATTTTCTCTCAAAAACCTCTACGTTTTAGGTCATTCTCCTTCTCTTGGTCCTCAAAGACCTACACGAAAAACATAAACTACCTTACTTTGCGTGGTCGGGTAGAAAATGTCTTTTTCTAAGAAACGGTTCCAAATTTTTCAATGCAAATTTGCATATAGAACCAGATTTTACTCTTCTGTAATATTTTTAAAGTAAAATTTCTATTCTAGTTAGGGGCAAATAATATTGATAAAGTATTAAAAATGTCTTTTAGGTGTCAACAAGAAGCTTCTGTGAAGAGAGTAGTACTACACCCATATACTAGCCCAGACTAAAGCAATTAGGAACCTAACTAGTGCGAGAAAATATGTGCCATTCTGTAGCACCACTAGTTTTAAAATCCAATTATCGTTGTAAGGTGAAAATATCTTAAAAGTTAGGAAAGGTCTCATTACTGAAAGTCTTAAACGATGAAACAGTAACTCCTTACCTAAACAATATGCGGTAGAAAATTACGCTCGAGTTTGTGATCTCCCTCCCCATTGGCGTGCGGCAGTTGTGGAAACCATGTCGTAGTTTTAGTAACAAATTAAAGTTATCGTAGTTTTTGAACATTTGTATTTCATATTTTCTTTTGCGACTTTTGTGTGCTGATTCTCAAGCGGAGCTTTTTTAAAGGAATTTAGTTCTCTTCATTTGGCATTATATTGCTCTTCAAGGTATTTTATACAAGTACATGAACACATAAATACATTTATATCTAAGATAAATATTACATTCATACGATATTGTATTAGTTTTTAACATAACTAACATTATTATAAACAAAATTAAAGTGCATCACATAAGATCTTATAATACACTATTACAATATTTCAATACACTAATGCAATATTTTAAAAATTATAATGCCCTATATTATAAGAACTTTTATTTCTGGTTTAAATGTAAGAAATAAAATTATGAAAGAGAAAGTAATTCGTTTGAATGATGATATTTAATTTAAAGAGAGAAATGAACAGTTCAACCTCGATTGAAAATTGAAGAACAAAGTATATTAGATAATTTAGTGATTCATTTTAACGGGTCTAACCGGGTAGCCACTTATTCAACATGATCTCGCTTGGGCATTGCGCAGAAGTGGCATGGCTAGCACAGCACTCTAACTGCCGCGCTCTCAGGTGGAGTCCCGATACTTATTAGACAAGGGACTGACAGCGCCCGCGTTGCGTTGCGCAGGGCGGCGCCGGCCGCGTCTGTGTGCCTCCACCCCCGCCCCCGCGCACCGTACTATCCACTGCCAGGGCCCAGCCCCCGCCCGCCTTCCAGACAGGGGTGGCCACCGATAGGCCACGGGAACAGGCAAACGAAACAGAGGAAAATCTCCATTGCGAGCTTCTGTTTAACAAAAATCCCTTTAACATTTACATTACTTCAGTTTGTTCTGTTACCTTGTAAGCAATACATTGAGTCTTTAATACGTACCGTCAAAACAAATCGTTATTATTCAGGCAAACAAAATTGTTCTCAATACGCTATGAGTATATTTAATAAATACTTTCTATAGGAAATTTATTTTTTTAAATATTGTTTTACCAATATTATTCATTCGATATATTCCAAAACACTGATACGCAATAAAAAGAAGGAAGAAAATTTATTTCAAATATTGACATAGCAATGAAGGTCAGAAAGCTATAATTGACCACCGATGAAATATTTTTACAAGCTTGAACACATATTTTTGAAGTTTTGCGTTTTATTCTTTTGTTGAAAAGTCACTCTGCGAAGAGAAAGTGGTTATCCTTAAGACGTGTTTCCGTTATCACTGGTTCAAATAAAAATTTAAAACAACGATAAATAATTTTCGTTACGATATAAACTATAGGAAATAACAATTTTTTATGGTGTGCAGAATTGTATTAATCTATGTACGTATGATAACCCCGGTAAAGTGTTTTAAAATTGATTGGGCTTTTTCGGATAACACTTATCGATAATTCAAAAGAAAAGTGATATAACTTCAAAAACTTTAAATTTTACAGAAGCAAAAGTAAATTACCTGTTCCTTTCTGCCAGATAAGTGCAACTATGACACAACGCGCCATCTAGCGTTTTCTTTAAAACCTAAACTTATGAAACGTTTCCAGTATGTAGTCACATTCAGGACGGACTTATTTCAGAATGACTGAAATAATACGCAAAACAATTTTTTTGTTGTGGCACTTTTGTTTTAAGCGCTGTATACAAGTTTCAAATTGTTGTATTCAAGTAAAAAGTAGTTTCGTTTACAGCAATATCTATGATTAAATTATTTCGCAAGAATGTAAATCACACATTTACTGTGTTGCGTGTTGTGGTTGTTCTAATTAATACTTCCGAGTTGTAACTGCTCTAGGTACCACGACATGAAATGTTTTTTAATCTATTTCTATAACTCCTTTCAAAACTATTACCTTGATAAAATCGCTCTTGAATATTGCAAAACACAGGTTTTTCACTTGACAGAAAAATGATGGCGGTTTTTATAATTTTGTTTTCAGTTGAATCGTAATTTTTCAGCCTCTTAAAAAGTATCTTCTACACTGCACTTCTTGAAAAGTGACGTTTGGCTTCTGTCCAATAAAAATAAAAGTCGTAATACTCGTTTTCGAATCGCATTTGAAGCTATTAAATTCAGATTTTCTCATTTAAGGTTATTTATTCATCCCTAGAATTTGGTGCTGGGCTGCCTCATAAACGCTTCAATCTCCTGCAGACCAACAGTTGAGTTGTGCAATCGAATCGCGCGTGTGGTCACAATTTCAGACTGAAAGAGGAAAGGTCCCCTCAAGCTCAAGCCCATAAATACTGCAGAAGGAGACGCGAAAGAGGGTTACATTTTAGGAGGGGGAGGGCGCCAGAAGGGCTAATAAACTTTAAATATGGAAACGCTACGCTTTGTTACTGAATTCAATTAAAAAATTAAACATTCAATTATTCTTATTAGATCTGTCTACCTGTACCTGTTTATGCATTTTTCTTAAACACTTTTTATTATCTATAATCAAAAGGTAACATTTTTAAAACTTGTGATTTTCAAAGAAATGAGTGTTTATGTGTATTTTCGTTTGTTAGACATCGCCTAAAAAGTGCAATTCCACGCGTTTCACTCACCTTCCGCATGGCCAACAAAGCATCCATCGCAACAGGAGCAAAATCAGACGCATTCTTCATTGTCGCAACTGGAACTCGGGGAAGCCCGCGTGGCCCCGTGCCATTCGGAAACTTCTTCCGAGAGGGGGTAGGGGGCGCGTCAAGGGCAGCTCCGCTTTAATGGTGGCCGCCGCGCCGCGCCGCTTCGATTACGAGGCCCAGAGCCCACCCGCCACCGCCAGCAGCTCCGCCCCGCCTACGCCCACGCCACCCGCCCCCTCCTCCCCTACGTACCCATCTGCCCTCACTCGCACACTGACGCCGCTGCCTTCCCCCCTCCCTCGGGCTGCGCCCGCGACTCCCCCCCCCCCGGTCCGCCGCTTATTCTTGGCTATTCACTAGTCCCTATTGCCGCTCCCGCCCGCTCCCAACCCACTCCCACCCCGCTCTCGCCCCCATCCTTCCCAACCACCCCCACACCCCCTACCACTCAACCTTGCCACCGCTGCGCTCCGCCCTGCCGAACCCCGATCCTTCACCATCAACCCCGCTCCCGCAAACAGCCTGCTCATCCTTCCTTCCGCCCCCTCCCTCCCTGCGCTCACAGTTCTCCTCGATTGCGACCCTGCTCCCGAAACGGCTTCCCAACCCGCCCCCCACACCTCTCGCCTTCTCGCTTCTCTAACCGCTCTGGTCGGCGCTCCCCAACCCAACTCACATCGCCGTTACTCACTCGTAGTCCGAGCCCGCTCCCCACCCCGCTCCCGACCCGTTCACGCAAGCTCCATTCCGAACGGCCTGCTTCCCATCGCGGTAATTGAGAAAATTATCTCTGCTCTTAATCCGGCCTTTAACACGGACGTCTCCAGGCTCGTGGCGGCTTGGAGGGCCCTCCTGGCCCAACCCTTGCGCGTTTAACCGGGCTACTTTACAGTTCAATTTCTAAGCTGTTTTGTTGCCTTTCCAGGCTGCATTTTATGCAATAAAGAAAAGAAAAGTATTTAAACGGCGGATTTTATTTTTTCTAGAATATTTTTTTAAATAATTTTTTATCTTGAATTGATTCAACGCACAAATAAAGTAGAACCGCAGAAAAAATTGAAACGTGAATTCTTCTTGTACCTTTGTTGGTCATGTTTCAGTTTCTCAAATGATTTGTTTGTATTATTTTTTGTTGGCTGGTGCTGTAAAAATGTGCATACTATTAGCAGTGAAATAGCCTTTATAGCGACTGAGATAAACAAATTCCTTAACACCTTCCAAGCATACTTTATAGTAATTCAAGTATTATGATTCATACATTTTTGAAACCTTAAAATGATTCACTAAAACTATGTTCAGTCTGATGAACATGAAATTGATAATAACTGCACCTAAAATTTTACTTCTGAAAATAATGTATGTTTATGATGTAATTAAGCTTTGCATTGGTAATTCAGTCATTTTATTTCACAATTGTAAATAAATAAATTATTAATTAAACATTCAAGCCCGATTTTCCGGCCGTGTCACGACGGTGACTATCAGCCCGAACTGTTTGCAGTTTATGAAGCTTTTGAAAGATGGCAGATTTGTGATGTACTGTCAAAAATCGGTTCTGGGAATCTCGTTCTCTTTAAAATTTTAATTAGGTATAATTTTAGCGCATGCGCTATACACGAATTCTGCTACATCATTACGTCATTAAGCTGTTTCTTTCAAAAACAGCACTTGCCATTCCCCGTTGCAGACCTAGGCGCACGTGTTAAAACAAATCCAACCTCCCCAATTTGGATGTACTTTACCAGTGATATGATCGTTGAATTAAATAACATCAGATATTTTGGAATGTAGTAGCTTTGGCCATTCAACTATTTAAAGATTTTGACCAATGAGGTTTGCTCCAATCATGTCGAAATTGTTTCCTGCACCTCTCAGAAATGTGTTTGAAAGGCCATGAATGATGAAATATCCGGTTTCATCTGGGCAGTTATTGAGGTAATGTAAGAGTAATTCTTACAAATGCAAATAATTATTTCGAGAATAATCCGTTAAATAACGCTCAAAATGTTTAAAATTACCCCCAAATATCAATTATTCATGTCATCATGCTTATCACTCGTACCTCTAAACCAAGGACACAATGCAGCCGCTTTTCACTTATACACAATCTCTTCGAACAGGGATTAATTTATCACTAAGATGACCTCACGCGTCATTCCTTAGCTTCACTGGTATGTCTGCCTAGCATAAGCATTGTCAATCTATGTACTACAGTAACTGTGCATATTATCCTCACATCAGTTGTTTTTATTACCCAAAGACGTTACTGTTTCCCTATGATGTAGTGCCCTTTGTATTTTCTTTTAAAGTATGACATCTTAAAGGAAGAGTTGCTCATTCGAAAAAATTATGATTGTTATCTTCGTCAACGATGTGACTTTATCGCTGTGTTCAAGAATATTTAAATACTCAAATTGTTGAAGGCATTAGACAAATTGTTCGATTAGATTTAATGTATTCGATTCGCCAAAATTAGTTGTGGGGCGTAAACCAATAGAATCGAGACCAATTCCAGACAGGGGAGCCTAACGCTTTGAACAATTTGAAATGCAATAAGTTGTTCACTGTCGCAACCCCGTCTGCATCGAGCGCTGTGCGTAGGCGGAGCTGGCGAGCATCCACAGCATCGAAGAGCAGAACTTCGTGACGGCCACCATCCGCAAGAGCACGGAGTACTCCACCAGCGCCATCTACTGGCTGGGCGGGATGCAGTTAGCGCAGTTGCCTCCGCCCCCGCCCCGCCCCGCCGCCCGCCGCCGCCGTCGACTCGACCCCACGGCCCGCTGGAAGTGGTCCGACGGCTCTCCCATGAGCTTCTCAGGTACGCGCCCCGCCTCGCCACCTTGCTTGCTCACCTGCGACTGCCACTCACACATACCATACACAGCTGTCTTAGAATAAATGTTACGACTTTCTTAAGCAGGTATTGCTCGTGCGCGTGTTCTTGATACACGGTACCCTAGGCCTTGCCCAGCGCTGAATAGCACGGCAAGTTGAGATAATTAGGTTCGATTTACAATGCTGCCAACATACATCTCCTAGCGTCAAAATAACAGTAGTATTTCTCGGCCCACGATTTGGGACGATTAGTTCATACCAACAGTTGGCACGCCTTTTTAAGCTGTCACGTTGCCAGAACCCTCCTCTCTCTGATCCACTCGCTTTGGAATATCAAGAAAACTTGCTCGGAAGCCACAAGCATAATTTTTTTGCCAACAAACACGCAGCAGACACATGAAATTTCTCTGTATGTGACGGTCGTGACTTGTGTAACATGTGTGCAATGACAATATTCACAAAACGTTATTAATGTCCGTCTTCCTAATGACCTATAACCAAGTAATATTTATTTTAAATAATAAATAGAGGTATTGGAATAATTAGAGCCACTCTTTAGGTTGCCACACAAAGTAGACACTATTTATATTATATCATCGTGTCAATTCTAAAGTATTAAATCTGTCAATCAGTATAGCAGTTGAGGAGCTCTGTAATCTGCTTGAAATTCACCTATAAAATAAGCGTTATGACCTTCACATTTAAAGATGTTATTGGTTCGCTCTTTCTTTCGCTTTCGCACTTATACCATTTCTGACCCAATTGTCAAGAAAACCTCAATGTTTTCACTTTTGATTCTTCATAGTTATTAGGTCAATATATAACCATTGTTTACAGAACAAAAAAGGTTTTTAACGTTTAACTCCATTACATATTACATCTATAAATATTAAGAATGTGTACAATTTCTGTAGTGTATTCTGTTGAATATTAACGTGAAGTAGGCACTGCATGAAGTAGAAGAGAATTCTAGAGCACAGCCGAGAGAAACCGCAGTAAAGGGACGCGCGTGGCTGTTGCAGCGTGGCTGCCGGGCGAGTTGGAGGCGCTGGGGGCGTCGGGGGCGGAGGGCGTGGGCGTGGGCGGGGCCGCGCCCGAGCGCTGCCTGGGCGTGCAGTGGACGGCAGCGCCGCTGCCCCTGCTGCCCAGCGGCCTCTACTGGCGCCCGCAGCGCTGCTCCGCCGTCGGCGGCTACGTCTGCAAGCGCATCAACCAGCGTGAGTGCCCCTCCTCTTCTTCTTCTTCTTCTTATTTTATTTCTCTTAATTAATTTTGTCCAGGTATAGATTTATGGATTTCATACCAATGTATTTTAAACTAGCAATTATCTTTCTAACAGATTTCTACATAAATATAGTGCGTGATTTAAAACATTTTCTAAAAGTACTTTATCAAAATACTTCAATAACTATAAAATGTACTTGAGTGAGCAGACTTGTTTCCCCTGGAGAACTTTGGCTTAAGCCATATTCTTGTATCTTATAGCTATAAGCTATTTTTTAAGTAATTTCTAATATCATACAACTGGTTTTCAGCACCAGCCTTCACTGATTCAAATAAAATGGGAATTAGCCAGACTTTCGTGTGGGAACAGGATAAAAAAAGGATCATCCCGCATGTTCCGAGACCCATTTTTAAAGAGTCTGCTCTGACAACTGCTTGTAATTGATTGTTTGAGTCGATCAGAGCAACCGGCCTCAGTAATTTCAATTCAGAAAGAAGCACATTGACTACTAAGCAGCGATTAGAAGTGGCTGAGCTTTCACCTAGATCCCTTTATTTCTTTCAAGTAATTTGATCAGATCCGCCAATGTTTCGGAAAATTGAATGCGCGGAGTGGCACAGATCTACCTTAAACACGCCTTTCGTTTTTTCCTCCTGCTAAGAGAGATACGTTATTCATCGCTATTTATCTACATTTTTCCGAATAGCAATTAAATGTTTCCTATATTTTCTATGATTCGAAGAGTTCTTGTTATTTTCATTGACATGTAAATTTCATATTAGGCCTTTAGAGTGGCTCGTAGGAAGGTACTAGCTTCCCGCGGTGTGATCTCGTGTTCGATTCCCGGTTGAGGTAAAAATTGAGCTTTCCTTTAAAATCGTCTCAGTTTTTATAGACGTGTGACGAAGAAAATCTGAGCAGGCGGAGTTACGATGGATTACGCTAGTTACGATGAAGAGAATACGTCATTATCTCCGCTCTCTCTTACCTACCAAGCTTGAAAATTAAACAGTCGCCAAACTCTTCAGACAGTCATGAAGTGTTTGTTTGTGACACAAACATTCAAAAAACGATCTCTCTGTTTCGTGGTCGTTATCACCAAATTGTTGCAAAACTTGTGTTTTGGTTCGTATTTTCAAATGAAGGTAATTAAGTCGTAATTGTAAATAGAAAAAATTGAACTCATTTTAATGTTAAATAATAATTATGTCGGTAAATAGTAAAACAAATTGTAAGTCTGAACAAGCGAGGGCGGAAATAGTAATACACCCCATTTTCGTAAACGAATTTCAGAACTTTGATCCCCACATAATATTTAAGAACTTTATAGACCTTTTTCTTTAATCCATGCTCGCGAAATAAAAACATCACTAACGACTTAAGCAGTGTTAAAAGTAGATCATAAAATGCGATTACTCAAATTATGTTCATCTGAAAGTGATTACACATAGGAATTTTGTACAAACTGCTCATAAAAAGATAGTCTTATGAGGCAGTAAAACATACGACAAGTTATCGATCCACTTAACTGCTCAATTTGCCATGAGGAAAACGCCCTAACTCGCAACCTCAAGAGGGCCCTTCGAAGGAAAGGATAGAATCTAAAGTAGAACGATTCATTCGAGGAGAAATACAAGAAATATTTTTATCTTCTTTTCTCTTTCAAGAAATAGATCCGATGGACCTTTTTAATCTTAATTTCACCTACGTTATATTTTTTTATCATTCACGATTTATCTCTGCTGAATCGTCGGGTCGTCTTTTCACCTACTTTGTGGAATCTTTCTTCTCCGTCGTAGAGCACTTATACCGATAACGACGAACAACTTTTGGTAGTCGACAATCTACACACATTTTAAGCTGGCTTAACGTTTATATTGTCTTTTCCAATATAGATATTTTCTGAGCTGGTTTTTAAACGTGCAAAAGTTTACCACTCGATGAAGATATTTCTGCAACTTAGACAAGCCTATTCATCTTATTTGCAGTTTCGCATTCATACTTGAATAATACACACATTGAAATTTTGAAGTGTATCGTTCTAAAAATTGTACTAGTACACGTTTTCCCAAACCTTATTTCGTATAATGCAATTGAAGTTGTCTTCACGATCTATGTCTTTTGAAACCTGAGACTTCATTAACGAACAACATTTTTCAGATACATTCAAAGAAGTATCAAATATAAACTAGTATTCAAATGCGGTAATGCCGACGCTGTAAACTGTTTTAAAAGTATTTCCCTGTGCTGAAAATTTCTTTCATACTTCATTTCTTTCATTCCTAGCTTTGTTCAAATATGTACACTCTTGGAAACATAAAGTTTCGCGTCGAAAATGACTTGGCCCGATAGGTTGATGGCTTTATACATCTCTTATAACAACCAACATTTTTATATTAACGAAACTTTTAAAGCAAAATCACGTTACCAAAGTTAATGTCAGTTCTGTTTTTAATGACAGGAATCACGAAAAATCTTTTCCTCTATACTTTACTATTTAGCTCTGAACGGTTCATTAAAGTATTTATACGCTCTCCAATAATAAATTGAA